GGTCACGTCAAAGGAATTTTGTACTTTACTTTTATTAAAGGAATTAAAATGAGGCTAAACTGGCCTTTCTGCGCGGTCTTTCACAATAAAACGACAGACTTGGTGTTTTTTTAAATCCCTCGTTAAGCGCATTTAGATGGCTTTAAAATCCAAAATAAAGGACTTACAAAGAAATGACCTACAAAACTAAGTGCTCTCACCGGGGGTCCTGTTTGGTTTTGCTCGGTATAATTACCCTTAAAAGCAATAGCCTGTCGATAGACAGGAGGTGTAGTTAGTAAAGTGTGATCTGAAATGAACTTCATCCATAGTTTTATGAGGTAGCTTTCGCGGGTTTAACTGGTTTAACTATGTATAAATAAATAAAATAAATAAATAAATAAAATAAATGAAATAAATAAATAAATGACTAAATACTTAAATCGTCCAGCTTTAACACCCTCCCGGTGCCTAGCTGCCATGCTACCCGGAGGAAGCACGATGGCTGGGATACTGCCAGGTTGCCCAAACCTAGACAGGAGAAGTCGAGAGGTAGAGGTTGGGTTCGAACCACAGACCTTCCGGTCAGCAAATTCGCGCTCTGACTACTTGAGCCATCTCGCCCTCAGTCTCAGGTAATAACTGAAAGATCATTTAAACAAGTATTGAGTTTTGTAGAGAACTTGTTGCTTTTCCTACTCCATATCTGATCTTGCTTGAAATACAACTTTCCCATTATAGGTAATAAATCTGGAATGGAACTGGAGATCCAATAGCTTCATATATTCATGCAAAACCTCAGTAATTTAAGCAGGTACAGTGTACCCTTTCTGTTCTCTAAAAATCAGTCTGTAGCTACTTCTCGTCCTGTTTCATCTTACTTTGAGCCGACTGTTGCCCCTAGGTTTATCGTCAATTTAAAAGTAGTGTACAATGAGATCCATTGACAAATCAATGTTGGCAACTTGGTAAGATGTCACAGTCCATACAGTCGAACACAATCAATATTTACTGTGTGTCCATCTCCAAACGCTCACTCGGGAAAGTCACTGATATCGATTCGTAGCCATATCTCACGGGAATTTTGGGTGATTGCAGGAAAGAGCTACGTGGTTCATATCTCGGAAGATGGGCAGCGTCGATGGCACTCGGACTCCTTCTTGACCCTTGCGAGTCAACTACTATCCTTTTCAATGCTATGTCACTTTGAATGTGACACGGTAAGTCAGCTCCTAATCGGACGATATATACCGGCTGCAGCCTTCTCCAATTTAAGTGTATAACGCAGTACCAAGAGAGATTACTAGTAATCGAATTGTAAAGGGTGTTATCTGCCAATTATTGTAATCACCTTACATACCCGTGCTGGATCCTTGTACATTTCAACTCATCCACGCTTGTCCTTAAACAAGTTTCATCGCGTATCAAAAACGGTGTAGCATGTTTTCAGTGAACTATTCAGGGAATTAATAAGTCCGAAAAGCTGGAAAGCATGCATGACCACATGGACAATGTGACCATCTGTGGCAATACCCAAGAGGAGCACGATCTCAAATTCCAGCCGTTTTCGTAGGCTACGATGAAGTACGCGACCACACCCAACGATAGCAAAACCGTCACTGCTTCAAAAACTATCTGCCTCCCAGGTTATAAGGTTTCAAATGGTATCATGGTATCATGAACACATGGAACCCATCCGTCAGTTAGTCCCTCCACATACTACCAGGGAAATGCAACGCGTCACCGGTATCCACGCACATTACGATAAAAATTAACAAATTGATAAAGAATAAAACACTCCAACCATCTGCCAAAGTTGAGAACCTAAAGAACGAATTAGAAAAAAACTTCGCTAATTACGATCGACTAGAACGAGCGGATACCTCAGGTGTTGTATAGCCGTAGCCCTCAGCCAAAACCATTTACAGGTGGCCTTTTTCTCGGGGAACACTCAAGTCTAGCGGAAAGAATCATTTTGCCATCAAGGAGGCGCACACTACCGTCAAATCCAACATAAAACAGCGGCGCTATCTTCTCCGAAGGCCCCTCAAGCTGACCACCGATCAACGTCGGTCACTTTCATGTACGGCGATGGATGGGAGAGCGAAGTGAAAAATGACAAAATAGAGAGCTGGAGGACTGGGTTATCTGAGTACAAATATGGTGTTATCTATTGACATGGCAAGAAAAGTCATGCCACCGACACTCTATTTCTCCGACGTATGCCATAAGCACATTGGTTCCAGCTGCTACAGTTCCGATCACCGAAAAACGGGAAAGTGGAACATACAACCAAGCCTTGGAGGCGATAGCATGTTCAGTTTGTTCAAAAAATAGGTAGTTACGCACTGAAGGCAAAAGCTTTGATGCATGAGCGCCACTGACTGCGCGATTGGACCATTTCCGCCGGTGTCATTAGCCACCGGTGATATGAGTGCCGGAGTCCCCATCCAGGGAGGCGGCAGTTGCCGACCCGACAAGGGTTACTGGTTAGTGTTTTCGTACTTCGTTGCCAGGTCATGCACTACCCACCTCTCGGTCGCTTCCACTCAGCAGAGGGCTGGGAAAAAAGAGTTCTGTGAGGCAGACGGTCTTCTGGTATGTAGAGTACATGTCCTAACCAGCGTAATCTATGAAGCGTGAGTGATTCATCTATCGCGGGAGAGTTCCTTCTTCCTAAGACCATCTGGCGTACCTCAGCATTACTAATCCGATGTTCCTACCAGACCTGACTAATGCTTCGGAGATACCGATGATCAATCACTGACATTTTCCGTATGTCCTCTGCGCGTGGGGGCCACGTCTCTGATCCGTAAAACAGTATGGATCGACAGACAAGTTCACGTCACTTCGGCAGCATAGGTGTCGGAGGTTGGCTTAAGCTGCCCTGGCCTTTCCGATTCGAGAAATAATCTCATCTGCCGGTCAACCGGAACTTATCCAATTGCCCAGGTAAGCAAAATTATCCGCCACGGCGATTGGCTCACCAGTAAGTATGAAGTTTGGCTTTGATCTGATCCAGTCATGTAGCAGCACTTAATACTGTCAGGGTGAAACATCTGCCAAACCGTGCGGCAGAGTTATTTAGGTTATTTGAAATTGTTTGCATTTGGAAGGATCTGAACCAAGGAGAGCAATAGCTACATACTAAATGTCTGTGACAGAACGTCCCCTGAGCATTTCGACTCTCGAGGTTTCAGAGGCAGGCAGAGAAATTTCAAGCAGCATATCAATGACAAAGTTGATGAGGAAACGGGAAAGAGGACTGCCTTGTCTTACACCATTGGACGTGGTGAACTCAGGCGAGAGCTTCCCGTATACTTGTACGCGCCCAGAGGAGTTCGCATACAGTGCCCTCATAAGAGAGAGAAATTTGGAAAGGACACCTCTGATCGCCAGACACTGCTGAAGGTCGACAGAGTCATCCAAGTATCAACCGCCAGTAGAGGATGCGCACTGCTGAACTGTAACCCACACTATGCACACATTGTTTATCGAGACAGAAGAGTCGAAACCGTATATCTTCGCCATCTAACTGCAGCGATTCAGAATACAACTAACGACATTCTCAATCTGTCTGAATCCAATAGAGACACGAAGCACTCAGATACGACTGGAACATTCGGACGTCATCTCGGTAGATTTAAAGGACATGAACGCTCTTTGGAACCGCCCTCCGAAGATCAACCGAGTTCATACGTGCCCATTCGAATGATGCTGGGGTGAATTTCGTGAGTGTAATCTGCTTATTATTGTAATCACCCCATATACTCGTACTGAATTTTTGTACGTAAACTTCAGGTCATCCAAGGTTGTTCTAGGACAAGTAAGGCATCGATTATTGCCGAAAACTCTGACTCTTACCCAACTAGTTCTCGGATGCATTCTAAACGTCAAACTACTACAAGATTCCGACCGACTAGGCGCACCCATGGTTCTCAGAAGTCGGCATGGGATTCTTCACTAGCAGCTTTGTATTCATGATTAAGTGACATTTGAGTATCAAGCCTGGCCACTGGAGATTGGGCGCCTATAGCGATGCTTCGTTTCAGAAGGAACATATTGTGATTCGAAATCAGTGCCACGTTTCGTAAGGTGGGAAGTGGGCTTCGTTCAGATGGACCATTCGGAATATACCCACGTACGGTCATTAACTCCAATAACCGGTATTAGACACAGGTGTTAACTTGGGGAATATATAACCGGTTTTACAACCCTGTTGACTGGATTCAATGCCGTAAGGATAAGTGCAAAATACTACTCAAAAACTGATAGCCGAATGACACCCAGTGACTCACCATTGATGACAAATCCAAAGACTGTTGGAGTTCTGTTGAATGCTGGACAAAATCTTCCCGACCAACAGTGACCATATACAGACCACCAACACTCATGAAAAGAAGTGACAGATAAAAGTGTCTATGAGTATGTAACCCTACACAGTTGGCAATCCATGGACAATGGTGATCCATGCGGAGCACACAGACGCCACACACGTTACAATGGTGAGCTCGCGGAGGACGAGGAACCGTGCATCGATAACACATGGTGACAATTGGAGCAAGCTCCAGTGGTAAGACTTCGGGAATCGACCCAGCATTAGTGAAAATAGCCGACAGATAATGAAAGAAAACCATCAAGAGAAACCAATGGCTGAAAATAAGGTGAGTAACAATAAAGGCCCCTTCATAAAATGCATCACACTGTCTAGCTTGTGTTGCACACTGATCCCAGATGAACAGACGTCTGGGTATAAGACACGTGTAAAGAACCAAGACAATCCACACCAAGTAAGAAAGTACAAAAGCCGTAAGGGCCCGTCCAAAGTTTCGGCGGCCCCCCACATGCAAGGCGAAACAATTGAGTATGGGGTGAAACAGGAATGAAATTAATACATTGTGGACAAAATTACAGAACCAAAGGAGCCAATTTTTGACGTTACCGCTCAAGCGTGGTGGAGGCGGTAAATCGTTCACAAAAGGGAAAAGAACACAAACGCAAGCGACGATCCTATGAAACTTGAGCCGTAACCGTGTCCCAAAATTTGCTGACGTCCAAGGAATAACGTGCCACGGCTAAAATGGGGAGAACAGTGGATGGTGTTTAGTGAGTGCTAGAACGGCTTGGAATATAAAGTCCCTCATGGGACAGGGCCAGAGAAATCTAAAATAATCCTTAGGAAGTTCTGCGTGCTTTGCGTTTCCTCTCGCCAAAACATCAGACACAGAGCGCGCCTACGTACGCTCCAAAGTGTTACCTCTCCCCACCGAATAAGCTCCCAGCTTAAGATGTCATTGGAACAAGTCACGGCATCGAAGCGCGGGTTTACATTGCGAAGCCAGAGTAACTGGTTATTCGAAGAGATCGTCCATTTCCTTCAGCGGACCCCTCAGACGCGAATGACAACCATCCGACAACTTCCGCCGTTTATGTCCCTGAGCCATCTGCTTATTTAGAAAGGGGCAGAAACGGTCATTAGCATGGAGACAGCTGCAAGCGCCGGCGACGCTTAGGATTTTTTTCAGTTAGTCCGCTAGTTTTGAACAGAAGAAAGGTAAACAAAGATTTGGAGTTACCCAGGGTCAATCCATGGTCAGTTTGCCATCATCAAAGACAGAAAAATCAGTGTTGACACTGATGCTTCACTGCCGTTAACTGAAAGGCTGGACTGAGCACTCCAACGCACCACCCAATCATCCCGACCCGTTAACCTTCGTTCAAAGGGATTTTGTTGGTCAGGTGTTCACGCGATGTCCTGTGAGGGATGACCCGGCATTCACACAGCATTTGACTTGTTCAACAAGGAATAACCTTAGTTGTTTTTTTTTTAGAAAGTCGATGGCGTGTCCAATAAGCTGCTGAATCCGTCACGAAAAAACCGGACCTTAATATGGTGTGACGGTTTGTGTACATCCACGAATCATTGAGCTATACTGGGGGAGGGGTCCGTGCTAAGCTCGCAGAGTCTTTCATACCAGGTTGGTCAATGTTTAGAGGTCTGACGAACACAGTCTCCTGGTTCTCCAGGTTAGGAGTTGTAACATGTGTGGCGACGCGTTCCGTAAAAAAGGTAATGTAATCGCATTTCCAGCAAAACATCGCTGGCTTGCGGCCAGGCTTTGATAAATTACCCTAATCGTCCTCCTGTCTGGGTTTGGGCACCCTGGCAGTATCCCAGCCCACGTACGACACTAGATTGCAAAGGGACGTATGTATCGGGCTGCAGTACGGGCGGTTTTGTTGTGTGATAGTGAGACTTCGGCTGTTAGAGCAGTGGGACTAAGACTTCTTCAGATGTCCAACAATCGCTGTCTCAAAACCACAGCTCAGGTGGGTTGGTGTCGGCGAATCTGTGATGAGGTAATTAGAAAGCGAGTTTCTGCTTGTGCAACTTCCATTGACGTGTGTCCAGTACCAAAAGCTGTGTTGGTTAAGCCTAATAGTGCGTATGCCAAAGAAAGTGCTGTTTTCCGTGCCCAATTCAGAGTGATGAGAGCGGAGAAGTAGCAACCCTTGACCTGGCAGAGATGTATGAAGAGCAATGCGAAATATTTGGGTGCTGTTGGCGCTACTCGTATTCCAGGATGAGGCCCACGTGATTCCCTCTGCGTCTGGTTGGAAAGGTTTCAAGATATGGCTGCTAATCGATGTCGGTGGCGTTCTTGTTGTTAGCCTCCATCCAGATTGCCTAATGAATGTCTGGAGGTGTAAGCACATCGGAATGATTATTGTAAGCTAGCGTCAGGTACGGCAGTTAGGCACTGTTGGACAGTGATGTCATACTGTTGATGACAAGGAGGAGAAGGACATTTCAACCTTCGCATATCTGTTAATCCTGAAGTAATGGCAGATGGTATCAATGGTGTGGGAGGTGCACTGTAGGTACCTGTAGACTCTGAGGCTGTAGGCAATCTACTGAGCTAAATACCAGCAAACAGCCGTCTCTGCGATGTATGTAACTAAAATCAACGAATGTCAGTGCGTAAATGGCGCCCATTTTTTGCATCAGCACGGGCCCCAACGGATGGCAGTTCCGAATTACAGAGGGATGGGTTTTCCAAAATCTGTCACAAACTGCTTTGATCGGGAAGAATGGATATGGTTACCCTGGGAAGTCATATAAGGGCCCAAGTTGGACGACTAAATTTGGGGGCACAAGCTGGTGGTGTATTTGGAGTTGACGCCCAGCGTACAGATAGTGGGGAGTGACTGCTTGAGTTGTGTGCTGAACATCGCCTTTTCACGGCCAGCATGAATTTTCAGCACAAACGATCACATAAGATTACCTGGAGGCTACCAACTGCAAGCCAGTCAGAAAATCAGTTAGATTATATGGTTACCAGTATTACGATGGACGGTACTGATGAACAATGCGAGCAGTCAGTGGTTGGTGGCCGAGCTCCACCTCGCATCTAAAGGAAGCTGAATATTGCGAAAACTGTGGAGATGCTTCAGTGTTTGTTCAATAGTGTAATAGTTAGTGAATATCCAAGAAAGTTCATGAAGGCATGTGAGAATGTTTAATGATTAGAGACCGTGTGCTGTGTGTGCTTATGAGATGCCTATTTTCCTGTTTAATCACTTGGCATTGCTTAGTTCGTGTTTGCTAATAAGTGACTTTGGAGCGAGAGACTTTCCCCTCATTAAGTGCCGTACCGGGATACAGATGAAGATCCCGTGTCCATAACCTTGTGAAAATGGGGATGCGCGGACCTTCCTGGAGGATTTCGAGGATGTTGCGGAGGTAGCTAGATTGGAAACCGACCGGGGTAACTTGGTGGCAGTGAAGACCTTCCTCAGAGGCCGAGTGAAGGCGGCCCTGGGTACAGCCAGAAGAGACTCTTGGAAGACGGACTGGGCCGCCGCAAAGGAAGCTCTTGCAGTGGAGTTCAGTACACCTGCCGACAGCAAGGAGGCTATGAGGCGGTTCAAGGAAGCCAGGATGGGACCGGGATGTGAACCGACGGCGTTCTTCACCAGTCTGCAGCAGTGGTTCCATCGTGCCTTTCCGGGGCTGGACGGAGTGTCACGCCAGCGATTACTGTCTGACAAATTCGTCGCATGTGTGCAGCCGGCGCTTGGAGAGAGCAACTGGCCAGTTGAATATGAAGATGCTGGTCATCCAGCACGGGAATCAGTCGAAGTACCACTAACTAATTTGCATTCGCAGGAGAAGAGGGATGATTCAGCACTGGAGGACCTGCAGACCAAAGTGGACCAACTAACCGAACAGCTTACAACCGTGAAGACATAATCAAGGAAGCACGCTCGGACGAGCCGATGCTAAAAGTGTGCCTGGAAACTGGAAGAAGCAATGTCGTCGTACCCGACCACCTGTATATAAGACTTTGGATCACACCTCTTTACTCTGGGTGGGTTGCGATTAGTGTTCTGACATAGGCTACAATGAAGGTCGGTACTTCCCGTCGAGATGAACGGGAAGGGGCAGCTGTGCCTAATTGATACAGAAGCAAAAGGGCCGTGGTTCGAATCCGACCTCTAACTTTCAACTTCCTCTGTCTAGACTTGGGCAACTAGTCCTCGTACTTCCTTCTGATGGCATGACAGTTAGGCACCGAAAGGGTGCTACAGCTGAACGATACAGGAGCGGCAGTGTCGATGAGGCAGAGGGAGCGAAGCTGAACGTAAACCATGTGCACTAGCCATCAGGGCGGGGGGTGCACTCAATGCACCTGGGTGACAGGTCAGTGTAGCATGAGTTCCTGATCAATCCAGACAGAACAGACCATCTTGAGGGCAGATTTTCTCAGGAGCACAGAATCCGTGATGGACCTAAACCGGGGAAAGCTGGTTCCGTCAAGCTCAAAGGTTACGTGAGCACTGCTGTGAACCAACTGCGTGTCCGAAAGTTCCCGTCTTGTAATGTACCGTCAGTAGAATCTGTAGTCGAGGAGTATTCTGAACTCTTCACAGGCGATGAAGATCCGTTTAACTTCGTAGACTGAACACGAAATCCTCCTCCTGTTCGAACGCTTTCGCCCTTACAGTCCCCGTCAATTGCTGCTGCATCCACGGGAGATCCATAAGCAGGTTCAAGAGATGTTGGCATAATCGAGGAAGCCAAAAGTGCATACACCCCCCGGTCGTGTTTGTAAAGAAAACGAACGGGAAATACCGATTTTGCGTAGATTTCCGACGTTTGAATGAACTGACCGTAAACTGAGCTGTAGCTGTTCCTCTGGTTGGGGTAAATTTTGATTTCCTCCAGCATTCCAGATGGTTCGCGATGTTCGACTTGTGTTCCCGATACTGGCAAGTAGCTGTCAGGTTACAGGACTAGGAGAATCGGTGCTTGATTGAAGACAACAAACACCAATTTATACGGATGCTGTTTTATTTGTCGGGGCACTATTCACATTCCGGAGCTTGATGCCTCGTTTAACGAAGGGACTACAGAACGTTGCCGTGTACGGAGACAATATTGTGTATAGCAATTCGGAACCAGAGCATACAGTTCACTTGAAGGCCGTATTGAAACGTATTCGGGAGGCTAGTCTGCTGATAAGTGAAACCAAAACACAGCGCGCCCAAAGTTCGGTGGCGCTCCTCGAACATAAAGTAGATCAGGGGGAGGTGAGGCCACCGCTAGAAAAACCGGCAAAAATCCAGGACTGTGTAGTCCCCAGTTCATAACGGCCCCTACGGCAGTTTCGCGAACGAGCAACAAACTAAGTCGGTTTGTAGGGGATTTTAAAACGATTGCTGCTCCGTTGTACGAATTGCTGCCACAAAATAAGAAATTCGATTGAACAAGGGAAGCGCATGAGACCTTCGAACATGTCAAAGCGCGGATTCCGAATCAGCAACTGACCCTCAAGCTACTCATAGTCGGAGAGATGTTCACTGTTGCAACGGATGCTAGTGACCGCGGTATTGGCGCAGTCCTAAAGCAGAGGAAGAGTTATCGAATATGCCAGTCGTGTCCTGACTAACGCTGAACAAAAGTACTCGACTATTGAGAAAGTTTGGCGACTGTCTGGGCCCTGGATAAGTGGAGGTGACAAGAACTGTAGCAGCTGGAACCAATGTGACCTTGTTATATGGTCTATAGCAT